CAGAGGCTGCCATCTACCACTTGCAATTGTTTGAGGAGCTCCGCCGTCTGGCGCCCTTTACCAGCGACCCCACAGAAGCCGCCGCCGTGGGCGCCGTGGAGGCGTCATTCAAGTGCTGCAGTGGGGCCATAATCATCCTCACCAAGTCTGGCAGGTAGGAGGCGGTGGCAGCGTCCTGGGGATCCCCTGTTCATCGGCACCTTTCTTTGAGGTGCCTTTGAACATTGCTAAGGTGGTGTTGAGCCAAGGTAAGAGCCCTCTGCCTGCCATCTGGACGACCCCCCCACCACCACCACCACCACCACCAGGACCCAAAGAATTCATCAGCACCAACCATAAGACATGATTATTAGCTCTTGTGATCCAGTGCTGATTTACAGCTTCATATAGAGCTAGAGCCTCATTGAATAACAGCTGATGGGTCTTTTATGTTTGAGAATCGGTCCTTTATGATGGAAATCAACCAGTTTTATTCCAGTTACAGTGTGTTTGAACATTACAATGTGTGGCCCAGTGGGCACAGCCAACCCAGAGATTTGTATTCACCAGCTGCTCCTTGAAACAAAAGCTGAGCAAACTCTTCCCATGTGATTTACAGCCTCTAAAAACCTGCGGGAACCTCAGCTATGAGTGGGTTCCAGCTTGACAGCAATGAGAGAGAGAGGCTTGGGAAATTAATACTACTCACTTGATTTCTGTGCCTTGCTTGATTATCATGTGCCAGTCCCCATTTGAACCTCAAAGGACAAATGGGGTTCCCTTCTAGCAGAGGTTACTTAGTGTTGCTGACTCGCATTCCGAGGACTGCCCGGTGTTTGGCATGGAGCCCAGCCACAGATCTGGGAGCCTCCCTAGGCTGAAACAGCATTAGCTTCTTTCACTCCCGGAGGCTCACAGTGAGTCCCTCCTCTCCCCACAGAGTGGTTGGAAGTTCCAGGGAGGAGTGTCAACATTGTGTGTCAGGAAGTGTGAGGAGAGGGTTGCTGAGTAGTGCTCGACTCTACGGCCCCTAACAACAACAATGTGGGCAGGCAGTCACTGCACTGAGGTGCACCAGGTAGGCCTTCAGCAGATGTCCTTAACAGAAGGGCTCAACCTCCCACTCTTGGATAGATCCTTCCACCATCAAGATGACCTTTGTAAAAAGGTCCAACCTTTGCCATTTGACTATTTTTATCTCCAGTCTTCTGGCATTTCACTCTGAGCTGGTCCTGGCTTCAGCACCTGCTCCCCTGTGAAGGCCAGGCCTTAAGCAGGGCAGTCTCTGATGTGAAACAGCTTAAGTTTCCCTGACATCTGTTGAGTGTCTTCATAGCCTGGCCCAGTTCTTTCTGCAAGCCCTTTCCCAACTCCTGAGTGGCCAGGGCACACATCTGCAATATCTTTTGCACCTGGCATTTGGAGTCTTGGTGGGCCAGAGCTTCCACACCAAATTTTTCTACTTCCTTACATTCTAGATAGCACCCAGATTTCTAGGTCTCATTTAAATACTCTATGCTACTAGAGCTTGGTTTCTGGGACCACTCAAGTATTTGGGGGTAGAGGGTGTGGCAATAGGAAAGGTATTCACTGTTGATTTCCAGGGAGCCAGTCATTTCTGCTTGTATTCTTTGCAGATGTCTAGTGTCACATGCTGCTTGGCTGGTAGTTGTTGTTGGCAGCAAGAGGTTGGTGCTGGACAGGTTGGGCCAGGGCAGCTTCCCTGTGACAGAGTGGAAAAGTTCAAGGCGGGGGCACTTTGAGCCAACTGCGGGATGAGTGCAACTGATCATGCAGGGCAAGGATGATCCTGGGGCCATGGCCTTTTTAGGGAGGATTAGAAGGAAAGTGAGCAACTAGACTATGAAGTGGAGTTCAGTTCTGTGGGCTGTCCTAGGAGAGGCTGTCCTAGGAAGTAGGTATTTAAATGGAAGAACTGTGGAGCCAGCATGGCCTGAAGCAGGTTCCAGGTTGAGCTGTTGCTGGAGCACAGCTGTTGGACTGCAAAGCGCTGCTTCCCAGGAGGGTCCTGGGACATTCGTTGCCTGATGCTCACTTTCTCCTGCCCAATTCTAGGTCTGCTCACCAGGTAGCCAGGTACCGCCCCCGGGCCCCCATCATTGCTGTGACTCGGAACCCCCAGACTGCCCGTCAGGCCCACCTGTACCG